CTCACTCTGTCGCCAGGCCCCAGGCTGGAATGCAGTGGCACAATCTCAGCTCACTGCAACCTCCACCTCCTGGGTTCAGGCAATTCTCCTGCCTCAGCCTCCTGAGTAACTGGGACTACAGGTGTACACCACCATGCCCAGCTAATTTTTGTATTTTTAGTAGAGATGGGGTTTCACCATGTTGGTCAGGATGGTCTCGATCTCTTGACCTCATGATCCACCCACCTTGGCCTCCCAAAATGCTGGGATTACAGACATGAGCCACTGCACCCGACCTAGAATTCTTTTACTGAAATTATCCTTCAAAAATGAAGAAGAAATAATCACTGTCTAAAAGTAAAATTGAAAAAATGTGATACCAACAGATTTGCCTTGCAAAAATGTTAAAAGACGTTCCAGGCCGGGCGTGGTGGCTCACGCCTGTAATCCAAGCACTTTGGAGGCCAAGACGGGCGGATTACCTGAGGTCGGGAGTTCAAGACCATCCTGACCAACATGATGAAACCCTGTCTTTAAAAAAAAAAAAAAAAAAAAAAAGGCATTCCTTAGAGATAAGTAATATAGGTCAGAAACTCAGCTCTTCATAAACAAAGGATGAAAGAATGTATTTGATTATGTATGTTTAGGTGTATATCTTATATGTGTACATATTCTTATGTAAGCTTTTGTCAAGTAAAATGAATGACAGCAATGATACAAGGCACAGGAGGTAGGAATTAAGATTATTTTGTTGTCTGGGCGCGGTGGCTCAAGCCTGTAATCCCAGCACTTTGGGAGGCTGAGGCGGGTGGATCACGAGGTCGAGAGATCGAGACCATCCTGGTCAACATGGTGAAACCCCGTCTCTACTAAAAATACAAAAAAAAAAAAAAATAGCTGGGCATGGTGGCTTGTGCCTGTAATCCCAGATACTCAGGAGGCTGAGGCAGGAGAATTGCCTGAACCCAGGAGGCGGAGGTTGCGGTGAGCCGAGATCGCGCCATTGCACTCCAGCCTGGGTAACAAGAGCGAAACTCCGTCTCAAAAAAAAAAAAAAAAAAAAGATTATTTTGTTGCTCCAAAGTACTCATACTACCTGTGCATATCCTGTTATTTCAAAGTAGACTTGGATTATTTGTAAATGTATATTGCAAACTCTAGAGCAACAACTAAAAAAAACAAAGCAAACAAGCGAAAAAGAAGTGGCCAGGCGTGGTGGCTCATGCCTGCAATCCCAGCACTATGGGAGGCTGAGGGGGGCAGATCATGAGGTTAAGAGATTGAGACCATCCTGGCCAGCATGGTAAAACCCTGTCTCTACTGAATATACAAAAATTAGCTGGGTGTGGTGGCACCTGCCTGTAGTTCCACCTACTCAGGAGGCTTAGGCAGGATAATCGCTTGAACCTGGGAGGTGAAGGTTGCAGTGACCTGGGATAGTGCCACTGCACTCCAGCCTGTTGACAGAGTGAAACTCCACCTTAAAAAAAGAAAAAGAGGCGGGGCTTGGTGGTCAAGTCTGTAATCCCAGCACTTTTGGAGGCCAAGGCAGGTGGATCACAAGGTCAAGAGATCGAGACCATCCTGGTCAACATGGTGAAACCCCGTCTCTACTAAAAATACAAAAAATCAGCTGGGCATGGTGGCGCGTGCCTGTAATCCCAGCTACTCAGGAGGCTGAGGCAGGAGAATTGCCTGAACCCAGGAGGCGGAGGTTGCAGTGAGCCGAGATCGCGCCATTGCACTCCAGCCTGGGTAACGAGAGTGAAACTCCGTCTCAAAAAAAAAAAAAAAAAAAAAAAAAAAAAAAAAAAAAAAAGAGAAAGAAAAGAAAAAGAAAAACTGCAATCATATAAAATGCTCAGTTAAAACTATGAACAGCTGGGCACAGTGGCTCAGGCCTGAAATTCCAGACTGAGGCAGAAGGATTGCTTGAGCCTAGGAATTTGATACCAGCCTGGAAAACAAAGCGGGTCCCTGTCTCTATGAAAAACTTAAAAATTAGCTTGGCACAGTGGTGTACACCTGTGGTCTCAGCTACTCTAGAGGTTGCAGTGAGAGGATCAGTTGAGCCCAGGATTTTGAAGCCACAGTGAGCTGTAATCACACCACTAGGTTCCAGCCTGGATAACAGAGCAAGACCCTGTCTTTCTCTAACACACACACACACACACACACACACACACACAGCAGAAAAATTGTGGCAGACATAAATAGGAACAGAGAAAAAAGGTAACAAATAGAAAGCAATAACATACAGTAAATATCCAGCTTTATCAATAATCACTTCGAACATTAACTCCACCAATTAAGAGACTGTCAGAATGGTTCAAAATATGAGACCCAATATGTTGTCCACAAGAAACCCCCTTTAAACGTAAATATGCATATAGACAAAAAGTAAATAGAGAAAAATACATCATGCTAACACTAGTGAAAAAAGGTAGCCGGGCGCGGTGGCTCAAGCCTGTAATCCCAGCACTTTGGGAGGCCGAGGCGGGTGGATCACAAGGTTGAGAGATCAAGACCATCCTGGTCAACATGGTGAAACCCCGTCTCTACTAAAAATACAAAAAAATTAGCTGGGCATGGTGGTGCGTGCCTGTAATCCCAGCTACTCAGGAGGCTGGGGCAGGAGAATTGCTTGAACCCGGGAGGCGGAGGTTGCGGTGAGCCGAGACGCGCCATTGCACTCCAGCCTGGGTAACAAGAGCGAAACTCCGTCTCAAAAAAAAAAAAAAAAAAGGTAGAAGTAGCTATGTTAATTTCAGACAGAGTAGACTTCAAAGCAAGGAAGGTTATCGGGAATAAAGAGCATTACATAACGATAAAGAGGTCAATTCTCCAGGAAGACAGAACAATTCTTAATGTGTACTTGCTTAACAACAGAGTCAAATTACATAAGGCAAAAACGGATGGAACTACAAGGAAAAATAGATGAATTCACTATTATAGTTGAAGACTTGAACACTCCTGTATCAGATATGAACAGAACCAGAAGGCAGAAAATCAATAAGGGCGTAATTGAACTCAACACCAACATCAGTCATCTGGACATGGTTGACGTCTATAGACTGCTTTATTCAACAACAGCAGGATAAACATTCTTCTTAAACACACATGGAACATTCGCCATGACAGACTACATTTTGGGCCACAAAACACACTTTAACAATTTAAAAATAATAGAAATCATGCAATGTCTACTCTCAATATACTTCTAAATAACACATGGGTCAAAGAAGAAATCCCAAGATAAATTTTAAAATATTTTGAGCTAGAAGAAAATGAAAATATAACTTACCAAAATGTATGTTAGGAAGCAAAGTAGTGTTGAGAGAGAAATTTGTAGCATTGATTGCATATATTAGAAAAAAAAGGAAGACGTAAAAATCAATAATCTAAACTTCTGTCTTAGGAAACTAGAAAAAAGAAGAGTAAATTAAACCTAAAGTAAGTAAAAGAAAATAAATAATAAAAGTTAAAGAATAAACTGGTAAAACTAAAGTAAAAAAAAATAATAATAATCACACCAAAAGCTGGTTCTTTGAAAAGATCAATGAAATCAATGAACCTCTTAGCCAGGCTAAGAAGAGAGGACACAAATTACTAAAATCAGAAATAAAAGAGGGAACATTTCTACAGATCCCACAAACATAAAAAGGATAATAACAAATGCTGTAAACAACTATGTTCCACTAATTTCATAACCTAGATAAAATGGAACCCCTTGAAAGACACAGTCTGCCAAAACTCACACAAGAAGAAACAGACGATCTGAATAAGTCTACATAGATTAAAGACATCAAGTAAATAATTAACCTTCCTAAAGTACCCAACTCATAATAATTCCCAGGAGTAAACTATGGCTATGTCCATGTTGTTTGCTTACTCTCTGGATGGATTGAGGCTTTTCCTTGCTAGGGACATGTAACTCCACACACTGATCTTCCTCAAACCGTTTTTTCAAAACAGGTCAAGGAATTTGGTTATGCCAATCACAAAGTTGCCTCTTTTTTCTTCTGATACGGTAAAAGAAAACAATCGAATAGGCTATGTTTGGTTGGCCACAGTATATTGAATTTTCCTTATCCGTCTCTAAACGCATGCCAAGGAAATCACTGAGCCTTCTGTGTGCTATTAAAAAAAAATGGGTAGTCTGAAAGTGTTCTTACTTCGGACCATTTGGGGTTTCTGTCAGAGTAACTTTCCCATTTACATCTTGCATCACAGCCTTTTGTATACAGCCCTTCGGGATTGGCGGGGCGAGGGGACTGGGATAAAAAAAGTCATCATCCAAAGAATGGAGCGGGAGGATCCAAATTTAGGATATTTTATTGACCGGCTAGACGCGTTTGCCTTATCTTCGTATTAAGCCCATTTTCTTCATTAACCACTTGATGCTTTGCGAAGCCATATCATTGATTGGAGTCAAACAACCACTAACAAACGGCAGTGCCCAGAATTATTATTATTATTATTATTTTTTTTTGCTGGACTCGGTGTTTTCCATTCAAAACCAAGAAAGACCCAACACTCGTTCTTTTTCACATCGAAAGCAAACAACAAACGCGAACCCAAACCCCAAGGGCCCCACCCTTTCAAGAGGGCTTGTCCGCATCACTGAGTCCGAGAGGTGCTCACCGGCGAGGCCTGGGCCCGATCCGGACAGGAGGGTAATGCCCGCGTTCCGCAAACCCTCGCCAAACGCCACCCCGGCCACAGCGGGCACGCGGGGGCCTCCGGCCGCCCCGGAGGCCGGTGGTTCGACACTCGGCGCACGTGCTGGGGATCCAAGCGCGGCCCCGCCACGCAGGCACGCGCGCACCTGTCGCGGCCGGGTGCGCGCCGCGGGGCCCTGGGTGCGTGCTCCGCGCGCCCGCGGCCGACCGCCGTCCCCGTCCGGGCGCCGTACGCGGGCGCGGGGCCTCCGCACTCGGGGTTCCGGCGGGCGAGCGCGCGCCGCGCCGAGGTGAGGGCCGGGCGGGGCCCTCGTCCCGGCGGTGGCGGCGCCCCCTGGCGGCGGGCCTGCGGCGCCGGACGCGCGCGGTCAGGCGTTCTCCGCGGGCAGCCGGCGGCGGGGCCTCGCCTCGGAGCGCGGGGTCCTCGGCGGCCTGCGCGGCCGCGGCGCCTGCTGCTGTCGTAGGCGAGGACGGCTGTTGGCGCCGCCGCTGCTGGTCAGTCGCGGCGGGGAAGGAGGAGGAGAGGGAGCGCGAGGCGGCGCGGGAAGAAGCGGGCAGGCGCGGCGGCGGCGGCGGCCCGGCCGGCGGGGGCGAGCGCCCGGAAGATGGCGGACGTGCTCAGCGTCCTGCGGCAGTACAACATCCAGAAGAAGGAGATCGTGGTGAAGGGGGACGAGGTGATCTTCGGGGAGTTCTCCTGGCCCAAGAACGTGAAGACCAACTACGTGGTCTGGGGGTGAGTGCGGCGCGCCGCGGCCCGCGGGCGGCGGGCGGACCTGGCGCCCCGGCGGCCTCCCCCCGGCCCCCCCCCGCCCCCCGGGGCCGGCGTCCGCGGGGGCGCAGAAAGTTTCTCTCCGGAGCCGAAGTCGGACGTGGAGGGCGAGGAGAGCCGCGGAGGAGCTCCGGAGCGGCCCGTCCGTTCACACGTTCGAGACGCCCCGAGGAAGAAACTGTGGGAGTTTCTGACTTTCACAGTTAGTTTTTAGCGGTCGGTGTCGCGTCCCCGCGAAGCGTGGGGCTGGCGCCCGGGGACCCCGGGGCACAGGTGCGCACAGGGGCAGGCGGCGCGCCGCCCCGGGCGCCTCCTTTCTGCTGCGCTGCGCTGCGCTGTGTCCCCCCCGCCCCCCAGGCCGGCCTTGTAACTGTCTCCACTGGTTCTTGGAACTCGGGGTGTATTTCGTCTCCCTGCCTTGCTGCGGGGAGCGAGGGCGGGTGGTTCTTGTAGAAGAGAAGAATCCGCTCTGAAGTTGGGATCGGAAAGAAAGTGGGTGCGTTCGGGCGAGTCGTTAAGATGGGAGAGAGAGAGGTCGGTCTTCAGGCCCGTCTCGGAAAGTGACTGCAGACCTGGAGGGAGCTTCACGTTGACAGGTCTCAGAAACGGAGGGCGCGTGCGATTTTGGGAAGGGTGTTTTTGAAGGGAAAGGCTTTGGATTGTCGGTCCCCGTGAAGTTTTACCAACTTTAGTCATTCAGAAAAGCTTACAGAGAGACGTCTAACAGTCATGAGGGGCCTTTTCAGTGATGTCCTGTCACTGTCGTTGCTGTCAGACCTTGAGCTGAAACTGTCCTCCTCATCTTGTTTGTTTGATTGGAAGCTTTATGAAGAGTCGATGAAAAACTGCGGAAATTCAGTTTGTTGGTTGGTACTTATTATTATTATTATTATTATTTGAGACGGAGTTTCGCTCTTGTTGCCCAGGCTGGCGTGCAATGGCGCGATCTCGGCTCACCGCGACCTCCGCCTCCTGGGCTCAGGCAATTCTCCTACCTCAGCCTCCTGAGTAGCTGGGATTACAGGCACGCGCCACCATGCCCAGCTAATTTTTTGTATTTTTAGTAGAGACGGGGTTCCACCGTGTTGACCAGGATGGTCTCGATCTCTTGACCTCCTGATCCACCCCTCTCGGCCTCCCAAAGTGCTGGGATGACAGGCTTCTGCCACCGTGCCCGGCCTGTTGGTTGGCTTTTAATTTTTTTGGTCTTACAATTTAATTAGCTTTATAAAATGTTGATCAAATGACATTCTGAGTTTCTGGTGTTTTACCCTTTCAGAGAATTTGCTTAGATAGAATTATATGTGGTTGAATTTTTAATGAAATTTTTTTTTTCTTTAAACAATGGCTAAGGAGTACCTAGAATATGAACTGGTTCAATCTGAGGATTAAAAAAATTTCTAAGATGCCGTTTCTACCTCAAAGGAGGTTAACTTAATCTGCGTTGAGGTTAACTTAATCTGCTTTGAAGCAGATTAAGTTAATAGCTTATGAAGACAGCAGTCACTTCTAGTTAGAAGTATTTAGGGAAAGTTCCGTATAGTTGTCTTTGGCAAGTTCACATCCAACAAAGTTTTCTTGAATGAGTGAACAAATAAATAAGCTTTAAAGGGTAGATAGGAGTTCTCTGGCTGAAAATGATGGGTTGAGTCTTCCAGGATGAGTGAACTGTATGGTTAAAGGCATGAGAACTAGAAAGTAAATGTGTTGACAGCAATTCAGTGAAGCCAGTGAAAAAGGAATGCTTAGCACAGTAGATTTTAAACTTTTTCAACAGTAAATCACACCCAGAAATTATTTTTATTTTCTGTATGTGCACATGCACATGTAAATATATACACATGTAAAACACTAAACAGTACTTAACTCTTCTTATTGCATGCAGTGCATTTTATTTTTCTCTTCTATTCTGAAAATAGAAAAAATACAGTTGTTAACTGGATTTCATAGTACAATCATTGATAGTGGTGTGTGGTCTGAAATGCACTGGTTTAGAGGAAAAGTGGGACTAGAAGCTAGCTAGAAAAGTAGGTTTAGGGCCGATGATAGTGGGCCATATTCAGACGGATTCGAAGCTATATAGATGGGGCACATGTAGTAGGAAGGGTGCGTTTGGAATGAGGTAATAGTAGGACCTGCATTAGAGAGCTTGCACCATTAGGATATTACATCGTTTTATCACAGGTAGAATAGGATTTTGGCTTTGCATTATTGGTCTAATTTGAGGGATGTCATGACAATCATACCTCTGAAATCCAGTGTTGTGCTTACTGTAAGAATGTGAAGGATGTTGTTCAGCAGTGTTTTATTTAGCAGGAGCTGTAGGATAAATTTCTTTCATATTTAGCACTGGTGATAATTGTGCTGCTTCTAAGCAGTTTGATTGTTTTCTCTTACCGATCCTCTTCAATAAGGATATGGTTGAATTTCTTTATTGATAAAGCCCAGAGCCCAATTCGGGCCTAATTCTATATAGTGTGTAGTACCTTATATGAATTTTTTGTATTTTTACTACTTCTTGCTTTTTGTCATTGCCTTCTTTTGTGTTTCTTTTGCGATCATGACAGTCTATTCATTATTAGGTTTTATACTTTATTTATTTTTTATTTTTTTATTTTTATTTTTTGAGACAGAGTTTCGCTCTTGTTACCCAGGCTGGAGTGCAATGGCGCCATCTCGGCTCACCGCAACCTCCGCCTCCTGGGTTCAGGCAATTCTCCTGCCTCAGCCTCCTGAGTAGCTGGGATTACAGGCACGTGCTACCATGCCCAGCTAATTTTTTGTATTTTTAGTAGAGACGGGGTTTCACCATGTTGACCAGGATGGTCTCGATCTCTTGACCTCGTGATCCACACGCCTCGGCCTCCCAAAGTGCTGGGATTACAGGCTTGAGCCACCAAGCCCGGCCAATTTTTGTATTTTTAATAGAGACGGGGTTTCACCATGTTGACGAGGATGGTCTCGATCTCTTGACCTCGTGATCCACCCGCTTCGGCCTCCCAAAGTGCTGGGATTACAGGCTTGAGCCACCACGCCTGGCTTATACTTTATTTTTGTTAGCTATGTTAAACCCATTGTTACATAGCAAAGTTATGTAGATAAATTAATCCAGCCCAAAGAATTGAATTCGAGTTGTGAGTAAAAAATTTTGCTTTGATTATTCCAGGACTGGAAAAGAAGGCCAACCCAGAGAGTACTACACGTTGGATTCCATTTTATTTCTACTTAATAATGTTCACCTTTCTCATCCAGTTTATGTCCGACGTGCAGCTGTAAGTAGAATCCATTTTACTTATCTATTTATCAGTTTTATTATTTATTTAAGAGATGGGGTCTGGCCCTTTTGCCCAGGCTAGAGTGCAGTAGTGTGATCATAGCTCATTGCAGCCTTGAACTCCTGGGCTCAAGTGATCTTCCACCTCAGCCTTCAAGTAGCCAGGACTGTAGGAATGGCCACTGTATCTGGCTAATGTTTTTTTGTGTGTGTGTGAAGATGGTGGGGGGCAGGTCTTGCTGTGTTGCCTAGGCTCGTCTTGAACTCATAGCCTCAGTGGATCCTCCTGCCTCAGCCTCCCAAAGTGCTGGGATTACTGGCAAGAATCACTGTGCCTGGTCAGTAATTCATTTTAGAACTTTTTTTTTTTTTTTTTTTTTTTTTTTTTTTGAGATAGGGTCTGGCTCTATTGCCCAGGCTGGAGTGCAATGGTGTGATCTTGTCTTACTGCACCGTCCCCCTCTCCGGCTCAATTCAGCCTACCACCTCAGTCGCCTGAGAAGCTGGGACTACAGGCATGCCCCACCATGCCAGGCTAATTTTTATATGAAAACTTTATTTATTTTATTTTTTGGCTTCATGATAGTAGGTATCATTTGAAATGGATAGCTTCCTTTATGAGTTTCAAATCAAAAGAATGGAAGGTTTGCATGAATGTCTCTAGGAGAGTCAAAATTAGGCAACTGTATGACTTACACAGATTTTTTAAAATCTGTGATATATTTATGTAAAGTGTGCGTAATGTTTATAACAGAGGAAGTTTTAAAGGGATTTATAGAGCCAGGCTTGTTAGTGCACACTGGTAATCCCAGCTACTTGGGAAGCTATGGCAGGAGTGTTGCTTGAGCCTAGGAGATCAAGACCAGCATGGGCAACATAGTGAGATGCCATCTCAAGGAAAAGAAAACCCGGAAACACTAAAGGCATTTATAGAGATGTTTAAACAAACTTTTAAGCCTGTGGAAGGACCTTGTTACTTCAGAACTTTAGTTTAATCTCAAGAAAAATTTTTTTTGATTGTAAGGAACAAGATTAGCAGACATTAAAAAAATATGTATTTCTTAATCAGTTTTGTGCAGCTGTTTTCATACTCCAGAGAAGTTCATTCGTTTTTAGTTTTGCTTACTTTCTCAGTGTTTGAAAATTTATTACTCAGAGGAAATGTCTGGAAACAACTTGAAAACAACTGATTTCATAGACTATGATGATGAGATTTTTTATCTGTAGGGAAGTATGTTATAATCAATAGGTAAATTATAGCAGTATATTATAATTGATAAGTAAATGAGATTTAGAGTTATTTGGATAGCATAGCTGTATGATGTGGAAAATTGCTATAAATGCCCAAATAAAATGGCCTAAAAAGATACTTAATTTTTTAAATGAGCTTTTCCCTCCGATTATTTTCAGTAGAATTGAACATAACATTTTTTTTTAAAGATATAATTGAAATAATTAAATGTCTGCTTTTAATATTTCTAACTTTTGCTTACTCACAAGTACATACTTAAAATTAACTATGGAATGTATTTATAAATGCTTTTCCCCGTTATCTTTACAGTTCTTAAAATAATTTTCTTAAACTTTTCTTACAGTTCTTTTTTTTTTTTTTTTTGAGACGGAGTTTCGCTCTTGTTACCCAGGCTGGAGTGCAATGGCGCCATCTCGGCTCACCGCAACCTCCGCCTCCTGGGCTCAGGCAATTCTCCTGCCTAAGCCTCCTGAGTAGCTGGGATTACAGGCACGCGCCACCATGCCCAGCTAATTTTTTGTATTTTTAGTAGAGACGGGGTTTCACCATGTTGACCAGGATGGTCTCGATCTCTTGACCTCGTGATCCACCCGCCTCGGCCTCCCAAAGTGCTGGGATTACAGGCGTGAGCCACCGTGCCCGGCACTTAAAATAATTTTCTTAAACATCATTTTGTCCGTCATCACTAGAGCTGCTTTTTGAGTTACCTTATACAGTTGCCAGATCACATTAAGCTGTGTGAAACTTAACTTCTATAACTGTAGCTTCCCTCCCAACTAGAAATAGTTAAGGTTTCTGGCTTATGTGAGGTATCCTTCAGATAATACCTTGTTATTTAAAGCAGCTGAAAGCTGGGTGTGCTGGTGCATGCCTGTAGTCCCAGCACTTTGGGAGGCTGAGGTGGGAGGATGAGCTCAAGAGTTGAAGACCAACCTGGGAAATACAGGGAAACCTCGTCAAAATAAAAAATAAAAAAAATAGCAAGGCATGGTAGTTTGCACCTATACTCCCAGCTAGCTACTCGAGGGGCTGAAGTGGGAGGATCACTTGGGCCCAGGAGGTTGAGGCTGCAGTGAGCCATGATCGCACCAGTGCATCTAGTGTGGGTGATAGAGCAGGACTCTTGTCTCAAGGAAAAAAAAATATATATGGATATATATGTACGTGTGTGTGTGTAGCAGTTGAGAAAGTATCCCGTCACTTAGTGGCCTTTGTATTAAGCCATAAGGCTTCTGCTTTCCCGAGCAAGAAATGGATATTTATGTTACATATTTTATAACATAAAATTAGAGTGAGTGAGACTACTTGAGAAGTAATGGGAAAAAATAGCATCAGCTCCCTCTTTAGGGCTATTTTAATTCAGATCTTTAAAAACTAAATTAGGTAGTTCTTACAGCGTTTTGTTGGATATATTCGTTTTAGTGTAACAAAGATTCAGATAGTTGGCTTAGATTTATAGATTCTGTTACTGGGAAATGGTTGTACACAGAACCGATAGCTGTAATTGTTATTGGGGGCCTTGGGACCCTTGGCTGCATAAGATTTAACTCTTATTTTTCTTAAATATTTGTCAAATTGAAAGAGCAGGATTCTAAAATTCCAAAGTTCTGTGGATTTGAGGTGGTTGTCTCCTGTTACTTTGTGTTATTTGCTCTTTCCTGTGAGCAGACTACTCTTGAAACACATATTCCTGACCCTTAGCTCCCATTTTAGTGTGAGTAGATGTAATCTTTCTCAGAGGATTGTAATGTGTATATAGCTCAATAGTGACAAAATGATGATGTAAGTTACTAGACTTAGAAACAGTAACTTAAAATTAACTCAAATCTTTTCACTGTTTATGATATTCCAGGTAGACTGGTTTATTTTTATTTTTTATTTTTTGAGACAGGGTCTTGGTCTGTCACCCAGGCTGGAGTGCAGTGGCAGGATCTTGGCTCGCCACAGCCTTGCTCTGCTGTGCTCAAGCTGTCTTCTTATTTCAGCCTCATGAACAGCTGGAGCTATATAGCTGCGACTGCAGGCACTTGCCACCATGCCTGACTAACTTTTATATTTTTGTTGAAATGGAGTTTCTTCATGTTGCCCACAGGTCTTGAACTCCTGGGCCCCAGCAGTCTATCCACGATGGCCTCCCAAAGTGTTAGAATTGCAGGTGTGAGCCACCATGCCTGGCTTAGATGGACTAATACGAGCACAAAAGAACTCTGCACTCAAACTTTTAAACTCATAAGGAGACTAAAATTTAGCTTCACATTTTTGAAATAAAAGATTATTTTTTAAGTGGATAAATACAGTTCATGTAAATCATTGAGGAGTCAGTGCAGAATGGTAGAATGAAATCTAATAAGCATTCGATATAAGGTCATTGGCCAAAGATACTAAAGGTTCTTATTACTTCATTGTTACTCAAATAAAGTGACAAAGGATTTAAACTAGAAACTCTCAGCTGCTAATTTTTCTTGGACTGTTTGTGTTTGAAACAGTCTTGCCTCAGCCTCCCTAGTAGCTAGAATTAGAGGCACCCGTCACCATGCCCGGCTAATTTTTGTATTTTTAGTAGAGATGGGGTTTCACTATGTTGGGCAGGCTGGTCTCAAACTCCTGACTTCAGGTGATCCACCCGCATCACCCTCCCAAAGTGCTAGGATTACAGGCATAAGCCTCCATGCTCAGCCAAGAAAATTGTTGAAAGTAACATGTTTGAACAATTTTCAGGATTTTTGTTAGGTTCTTGTAGCCTGGTCATTTTTTACAAATGTGATTTAAAATGCATTTTATCAAGACATGTTGGAATAAAATTCAGACATTACATGTTTATATTTATCAAGTTGTGTATCATTGTTATTCATTGGATACCGCATTTAAAATTTTGGCTTTAGACTGAAAATATTCCTGTGGTGAGAAGACCTGACCGAAAAGATCTACTTGGATATCTCAATGGCGAAGCGTGTGAGTACTTTTTAAATTGTTCCCACCCTTAAACAGATACTGTTTCTGTTTTCCCCTATGAAATAATGATTAGTGGGAAGAGAATTTGTATTTCCACTAAAAAAAATTAACCTACCTTCATTTTTGTCTGTGTGCTCATCTTTTTCTTACACAGAGAATACACTGTCTTTGGTTTTTAGGCCAGTTACCCCTTCCTTGTGTGTGGATTCCATCTCCTTTCACAGTCTCAAAGACTTTGTCTTTGTAAATTGTTGTTTCTGTCTTACATTATCAGTTTTCTATGTTTTTCTGGATCATTCCCTTTTAGAATACCTACAGAAAGATCTCTCATGTTTAAAAAATGCTTTTCACACCACATTCCTACTGTCTACTGCTTCATTTATCTTCTCCCTGGTATGGTAACAATCTTTGCAAGAGTTCATGTGGTATCATTGCTTCCTCTTTACCTCTGTTTCTTTCTTGAAGACACTCTAGTCTGGCTTTCATCCTCAGCATCCCACTAGAGTCACTCTTTCTAAGGTCAACACTGATTTAAGGATCACTACATTATTTGGTCTCTTGTATCACACTTGACCTCTCAACAGCATTTGATACTATTGACCACTTTTTTGAAAGCCTTTCTTTATTTGGCATTTGGAACACCAGACTCTTGGTTCTCTTTCTCCTCATTGTTCACCTTTCAGTTTATATGGTTACTTCCGTATCTGACCTCTACTTCTTGAAGTTTCCAAGACTTGATTTTTTTTTTTACTGTCTCTTTTAACCCTTATTCTGTGGGTGATCTCTTTCAGTTTTACGCCTTAGATATATATGTGCTGGCCGGGTGCGGTGGCTCAAGCCTGTAATCCCAGCACTTTGGGAGGCCGAGGCGGGTGGATCACGAGGTCAAGAGATCGAGGGCATCCTGGTCAACATGGTGAAACCCCGTCTCTACTAAAAATACAAAAAATTAGCTGGGCACAGTGGCGCATGCCTGTAATCCCAGCTACTCGGGAGGCTGAGGCAGGAGAATTGCCTGGACCCAGGAGGCGGAGGTTGCGGTGAGCTGAGATCACGCCATTGCACTCCAGCCTGGGTAACAAGAGCGAAACTCCGTCTCAAAAAAAAAAAAAAAAAAGAAGATATATATGTGCTGATAAAATTCCAGTTTTTTTAAAGCATTGACTTGTTCCAGGGCACCAGATTTATAAATTTACTGTCAACATGTTTCCTTGGATGTTGAATAGGCATCTGAAATTTAACATATTGAAAGTGGAATGCCCAATTTCCTCTTTCCCTTCTGCCCTTACACAGAAAAAAAACAAGTATTTTTTTCTTTCCTCAGTGTTTCCACTTTAGTAAGGAGCAGTGGTGCCCTATCCCTGCAGTTACTTAGGCCACAACTCCGGCGAAATCTTTCTCATGTCTCACATGTGTGCTATTGGGAAGTTCTTTTTTTTAAAATTATGACAACTTCTTACCTTCCTACCCATCCTATTTCATCCTTTCTTTTTAGATTATTGCATACCTTCCTCACAGTCCCCAGTCTTTATTTCCTATAGTGTAGTCGTAGTAGAGTGTCTTGTTGTTGAAAAGTACATGAATTTGATTGTGTCACTCACCTGTGGCTTCCCATCCCACTTAGAATAAAACTCATACTTGTTACCCCGGCCGTATCTTGCCTCTGAGTAAATCTCTGTGATTTCACCTTCTACCCGTCTTCCTTCACTTATAGCAGTCAGTGTTTTTGGTCTTTTAGCTATGCTCATCTTAGCGCCTTTGCACTTTCTCTTTTCTCTGTCTTTCTCTACATTATCACATGGCTCATTTCCTTACTATTTCATTTAGATCTGTGCTCAAGTGTTCTTCCAAATGTTGTTCCATCAAAAGACTTCTCTGACCACTCTATCTAAGATAATAGTATTCCTTTCCTCCTTCTGTGGTCTTTATATATTGCCTTCCTGATTTATTTTTCATCAAATCCTGTACATTGACCAAAAATAATGTACAGTATCTGTTTATGTACCTAATTAGTACAGAGACAGATAGTACATAGACAGACAGTGTCTGTCTTCCCTGTCAGAAAGTAAACCCTGTAGGGACAGACAGTCATTTGTCTTGTTAAATACCCAGCGTTCAGAATAGTGGTACATGGTAGATTCTTTTTATTTTTATTTTTATTTTTAATTAATTAATTTATTTCTGAGACAGAGTCTCACTCTGTTGCCAGGGGCCAGGTTGGAGTGCAGTGGTGCGATTTCCACTCACTGCAACCTCCGCCTCCTGGGTTCAAGCAGTTCTCCTGCCTCAGCCTCCCTAGTAGCTGGGACCACAGGCCCGCACCACCATGCCCAGCTAATTTTTGTATTTTAGTGGAGATGGGGTTTCACTGTGTTGGCCAGGATGGTCTCGATCTCTTGATCTCGTGATCCACCCACCTCGGCCTCCCGAGGTACTGGGATTACAGGCGTGAGCCGCCGCGCCCGGCCTACATGGTAGGTTCTTAAATGAATAAATGAATAATTATTAATTTACTCTGAGTACAATACATTGTACAAATACATTGATATAATAGAACTACTGGGTCTTACTTTGCTGAGTGTGGAATATAGTACCTTTAAGTCATTAACAGCTGTCTTGTCATGCATGGCTTGAAGCAGTAAGATTGATTTCAAAGATAATCTTGTATATAATGGAAAGATCATTATTAGGAATACTTTCTTCCTGTGCTATCCTCATTCAGTAAGTAGTTACTAAATGCTTATTTTTAAAGGCATTGTGCTGGGTTTTGTGCAAAATCCTTGCCTTAAACGTGTAAACGTGTTTACTGTCATGGAAGGGAGACTGGATACACAAAAGTTTTGAACCCAGCAGGATTGAAGGAGTCTCGATCATGTGAAGAGGATGGCGTTGGGGGATAGAAGAAGCCTGTTCTTTTCTCTTAGAGAGGGGGTCTCACTGCGTTGTTCAGGCTGCTCTTGAACTCTTGGCTCAAGCAGTCCTTCTCCCTTGGTCTCCCAAAGTGTTGAAATTGCAGGCATGAGTCACTGTGCCCAGTCATTTTTTTTTTTTTTTAATCAAAGCAAATTTGATTCTTTGAATTAGTATTTCTGTAATTTTTTAAATGATGAGAATCATGGTTTGAAAATAGTGTGTTTTTTTTAAAGTTTTTTTTTTTGGCTTCAGAAGATATGTAAAGTCTGAGATTTTCTTTTCTTATGCATCACAGGCGAGCCTGATAAATAGGCTAGTTTTGGGGAAGCACTTTAGAACAAATGATTTTTTTTTTTTTTTAAGAATCTGAAGTAGCGTTGCTCTTTATCCATCTAATGTATGTCGTTTCCTGTGGTTTCTATAGGACAAATTTAGTCACTAAGCATATTGCTTTGCCACTTTTTAAAAACTTAATAGTTTAATGAAAAGCTTGAGCAAATATTAAGATGTTAATCTTAAGGAGACATAACTGCTTTAAAAAGTTAGGTCTTAATTTGTACATTTAACATTGTCTCAATAAGAATCTGCAGTTTTTCTCGAGGTAAGAGTAGAACTAAACGGGATGATTCTAAAGTTCATTGGCAAAAGTAAGGATCCCAAAAATGTGTAGAAGATCAATGAAAAAAGACTAGCCATTCTAGAGACCTTATCATAAAACCCCAATAGTTAAAAAAACTAAATGAATAGATAAACTAATAAAACAACTTTATCTGTTAGGTTAGAAATCTATATGGAAATTTAACATGTGAGTAAAGAGACATGTCAAGTCAGTGGGAGGAAGGTGGGATTTAGTTACAAGCTGATAAAAGTAATAAAGTTCTGTATTACAGAAAACAAAAGATATGTCAAACTGAGAAAAGACATTACTATTTCAACTCATCAGAGATAAACGGCTAATCTCACTAATATATGAAGGGTCCTGGAAATGTATGCATAAAAGACCAAATGGATTATGTCATAAAATTCACAGAAAAGGTGATAAAATCATGAAAAATGCTTAATTTCATTTATAATAAGAGAATTGCAAATTTAAATTATACAGATACAGGTTTTGTTTTTTGTTTTTTACCTGATGGACAAAAATTTGTAAGTTTGATAATGTGCTCTGGTGAAACAGTGAGAAAACACATATTCCCCTATATTGTTGGTTATAATGTTAATCACTACCCCCACCATTGAAGAATTGGCAGCAATGTAACATTTCAAATTTAACGTAGAAATCCTGTGTCTGGAACTTTATCCTGAAGGTGTATTTAGTTTTTTACTAGTTGTAAATAACTAAAAATTACATGTATAGGGTGAATGATAACTTTTAAAAAATCTTGCTATTATATATATATGTATAATATATATATATGTTTATATATTTATGTATGAAAATGTATGGTGTGACTTTATATGTATATTACTATATCATTGTGCCATTGTTTGTGACAACAAAAGACTAAAATTGAACAGCTCGTCATCAGGGACCTAGTTAAATAAATTGTAATTAGGCCGTACAGTAGAGTACTCAGAGCTTTAAAAAAAGAGTGAAAGAAATGCTTTACTTACTGATACGGAGGAATATGGGAGATAAGTTGTTGGGTAAAAAAGAAAGCAGGGTTCAGAACAGCACGTTTAGTATTACCTTTTGTATTAAAAAGTAAAAATAATTTTAATTTCTTGTATCTACAGAAAGAAACTCTAGAAAGACATATAAGAGACTAGTTGCTGCATAGGGTGTTGGGGACTAGGTGAATGGGGACTGGTACTCCTCTTTTTGTTGAGCCATTTAAAAATTAAATAATTTAAAAATTGCATGTTTAGGGTGAATGCTAACGTTAAAAAAATATTGCCCTTATATATACATGTTTATGCATTTATTTTCTCATGTTTAGATATACCTTATTAGGTGTCTGTGTTATGATATTGGAATATATTCTTTTTTTTTTTTTTTGAGACAGAGTTTTGTTCTTGTCCAGGCTGGAGTGCGATGGCGTGATCTTGGCTTACCACAGCCTCTGCCTCCAGCGTTCAAGGGATTCTCCTGCCTCAGCCTCCTGAGTAGCGGGATTATAGGCATGGGCCACCGTGTCTGCCTAATTTTTGTATTTTTAATAGGGATAGGGTTTCTCCATGTTGGTCAGGCTAGTCTTGAACTCCTGACCTCAGGTGATCTGCAAGCCTCGGCCTCCCAAAGTGCAGTGATTACAGGAGTGAGCCACCGTGCTGGACGGAGCATAGTGTTTGAGATGATCTCACTGAAATTAGGAGCATATCCTTTGAAGCAACTAATTTCAGTCATATTATCTCAGTAATTTGTAAGCTAAATTGCTAAAAATAGTTTGTCCTCTTACAGACTTTCTAGTACAGGTTAATCTTCTAAATACTTTTGCAGAGTTGTTTTAAAACTTAATTTCTTACCTAGAGAAATTACCATATAGAAGTTTATTAAAAACCTAAAGCATTTCACTTGTAATAATGTCCAGTATGTATATTCAAATAGTAATCTTCACATGAATCTTTTTATATCTTCAGCAACATCGGCAAGTATAGACAGAAGCGCTCCCTTAGAAATAGGTCTTCAGCGATCTACTCAAGGTATGTCTTGTTCCATATTTATATTGAACTTTCAGAGGCCCATTCCAGAACTACACATTTATTCACTTCTCTTTTGTAGTCAAACGGGCTGCGGATGAAGTTTTAGCTGAAGCAAAGAAACCACGAATTGAGGTAAAGAAACTATTTAAACAATATTATTTATGTTGTTACTGAAATTCGGATGCTGTAGAACAAGGATTCTTTGCAGTAACCTGAGAAGCTTTTTTTGTTGGAAAAATTTTTGTGGTAGAAAGAGCAATAGATTAATAAGTAGCCCAAGCGATAGCTTTTGCCCTCTCACATGCAAGCTATGTGATGGACACAACATTTTTTTCTTTGCTTATGTAGTCTTATTGTTGAAAATACTGGCTCAAGGGTCAGAATTCTTTTTCCTTCCTTCCTTTTTTTTTTTTTTTTTTTTTTTTTTGAGACGGAGTTTCGCTCTTGTTACCCGGGCTGGAGTGCAATGGCGCGATCTCGGCTCACCGCAGCCTCCGCCTCCTGGGTTCAGGCAATTCTCCTGCCTCAGCCTCCTGAGTAGCTGGGATTACAGGCACGTGCCACCATGCCCAGCTAATTTTTTGTATTTTTAGTAGAGACGGGGTTTCACCATGTTGACCAGGATGGTCTCGATCTCTTGACCTCGTGATCCACCCGCCTCGGCCTCCCAAAGTGCTGGGATGACAGGCTTGAGCCACCGCGCCCGGCCCTTTCTTTTTTTTTTGAGGCAGACTCTCTGTCACTCAGGCTGGAGTGCGCTGTTAGGATCATAGCTCACTGCAGCCCCGACCGCCGAGGCTCAGGCGATCCTCCCACCTCAGCCTTCCGAGCAGTTGGAATCACGGGTGCCTGCCACCATGCCTGTCTGATTTTCTCTCTCGCTCTCCCCCTCCCTCCCCCTGCTCTCTCTCTCTGTCTCTCTCTGTCTCTCTCTCTCCGTGTATTATTATTATATTTTTGGTGCGGGTTTTCCATGTTGGCCAGGCTGTGTAATACTTTCTTTACGAAAGTCCAGTTAATTAAAAAAAAAAAAAAAAAAAATACACACACACACACACATATTTTTTTTTTTTGAGCTGGAGTCTCTCCCTTTTGCCCAGGCTGGAGTGCAATGGCTCCATCTCGGTTCACTGCAACCTTCACTTCCTGGTTCAGGCAGTTCTCTGCCTCAGCCTCCCAAGTAGCTGGGATTACAAGCACCCACCACTACACCCTGCTGATTTTTTTTTTTTTTAGTTTTAGTAGAGATGGGATTTCACCTTGTTGGCCAAGCTGGTCTTGAACTCCTGACCTTGTGATCTACCTGCCTTGGCCTCCCAAAGTACTGGGATTACAGGCATGAGCCACTGTGCCTAGCCAGATGTGGCTATGTTTTTATAAAAAACTGTAGGAGCTGGGCGCGGTGGCTCAAGCCTGTAATCCCAGCACTTTGGGAGGCCGAGGCGGGTGGATCACAAGGTCGAGAGATCGAGACCAACCTGGTCAACATGGTGAAACCTCGTCTCTACTAAAAATACAAAAAATTAGCTGGGCATGGTGGCACGTGCCTATAATCCCAGCTACTCAGGAGGCTGAGGCAGGAGAATTGCCTGAACCCAGGAGGCGGAGGTTGCGGTGAGCCGAGATGGCGCCATTGCACTCCAGCCTGGGTAACAAGCGCGAAACTCCGTCTCAAAAAAAAACAAACTGTAGGAAACAGATGGAGGGCCAGAATTCGTCTTTGGAATGTAGTTTGTCTGCCCTTGAAACAAGGTTTTATGGGGGCTTGTTTTCCTGCTCGGAGCTGTGAACATAAAGTACTTACTACTTAAATGTAATTTTAATTAAGCATATTCTGAAACATGGATCTGATATTTTCAAGAGAGAGTGATAATTGATTCATTGTTACTGCTGTATGTTATGTGATATTCTAAGTGCTTAATATGTATTAACTCATGTAATCATATTTGCTCATAAATATATGCATAGTGCTTCCAGTCCTCATGAAGCTGGTAGTACTTTGCATGTCATCTATGAGTGAATAGGCTCAGACAGAGTGAGTTGCTGAGGTTTGAAGCACCAGTTGGAACTTTGGCAATCTGGTTTGTAGCCATGCCACTGGGTATAAATTGTGTTGCAGTAAAAAATGTTTTACCTTACATGACAGGAGATTTTGACCTATGGTAAACAGTGTGTGTGTTTAGGGATAACATTTATTTGGTCTCAAATTCCTGGTCTCCAGCAGTCTGCCCACCTTGGCCTCCCAAAGTGCTAAGTTTACTGGATGAGCCAGTGCACCCAGCTCAAGGGGTACCATTTATTTGAAGCAACCTGAACGTCACAGTCTATTTATTTGAAAAAATTCAACATGGCAGAAGTCCTAATTTCCTAGGATTCTAATAACTTGAAAAATTAGCAGGAAATAGCATAATACCTATTTTTCTAGATCATTTGTAGGGTTGAAATGTGTTACGTAAAAAGCTGTGGATTTCATAAGTGGTTTTCAGTTCAGTGTATGTTTTTGAGAACCTGTAAGGAACTGTGCTAGGAAAGAGAAACTGAGGGCAGAGTTTCTGATTTGATAAAAATCTAGGCCACAGTTTTTAAAATCAGCAGTTTTGTGAAGAATTTGAGTAATCTGGGCTGTATCTTTATTGCAAATGGAAAAAATTGGATGCATTTGCCAAAATATTTTTACATTTATTTCAGCTGATGTATTCGTTTTAAGATTTTTAGGTGATAGATTAGCAGTAGGACATAAATTGGAACCCAGCATCTTTTTGGGTTTCTGGAGTATGCTCATGCTTTTTATACAGTTTTGTATTCCATTAGTCATAGTCATTGACTCTGTTCTGCAGTTTTGTTATTTGTTGAATGTGAACATTAAACTAGATCAGGGTTACCAGATTTTGTTTTGTTTCTAACCATCTGCTTTTCAGACTAAATTTTACCTGACATCATAATACATAAATTAGCTAAAAGCTGAGCTACCAGGGTTGAATTTCAGACGAGATCTTCAAGTGGCCCATGAGGCATTTAGTTGGAAGCCTCTACCGTTCTAGGGAGCATCCTTTGAAAGCCTTTAGGGTTTTCCTTGGAACATTCTGATTAGTGCTGTGGATTCAGGACCTGTAGTGACAGATGAAAAAAGATGGAGATGCCAAAATGAAATTTTTGACTAGGTGAAGGCTTGTAACATTTGGTTATTAACTTTCTCAAAAATATGAATTTATTTGTTGTATGATGTCTTTCTGAAGAAAGGCAGCTATGATAGGGGAAGAACACTTAATCATGAAAAAGTGGCTAAGCAAGTTTTTCCTAAGCTTCTAGATGATTCCAGTTTTAAAATTAAACATATTTATTGTTATTATCTTTCTGTAGCTAAAAGTAGTCTTGAAGTTGACCTAAAGAAACTGATAACTAGAATTGTATAGGTAGGAAATTTGGTAAGAAAACATTACATGCAGTGGGTTTTTGTTGTCGTTGTTGTTGTTTTTGAGATGAAGTCTTGCTCTGTCACCAGGCTGGAGGGCAGTCTCGCAATCTCAGCTCACTGCCCTCTGCCTCTCGGGTTCAAGTGATTCACCTACCTCAGCATCCTGAGTAGCTAGGACTATAGGTGTGCGCCACCACGCCTGGCTCTTTTTTTTTTTTTGTATTTTAGTAGAGACGGGATTTCACTGTTTTGTCCAGGGCAGTCTTGATCTCCTGACCTCTTGATCCGCCTGCCTTGGCTTCCCAAAGTGCTGGGATTACAGGCGTGAAGCACTGCGCCCGGCCATGTGTAGTGTTTTTTTCTTCCTAAAAGTTAAATAAAAATTTAAAATACACTAACCAGTGGTTATTTCCAGGATGAAGAGTGTGTGCGCCTTGATAAAGAGAGATTGGCTGCTCGTTTGGAGGGACACAAAGAAGGGATTGTACAGACCGAACAAATCAGGTAAGAATTTTTTTTAGTAGGAAGTAGATAGTTTAGATATACGTGAATGTATTTGGAAAAGTAATATTAAAATGCTCTCCGCATTTACATTTACCTCTTGGATTCATTGTATGCGTCTGTGCTCTAAGTTCATAAGAATATGTGTGGGGATTGGAAGCCATTGTGTTTGTCATGCTTTTTGAAAACTCTTCTCGATTCTATTACCATATTGGTCTTTCTTTTTAAAAATTGCTTTATAAGCTGAGAAGTTCATTTTATGTAATCTCTTATTGATTACGTATAGCAGAGGTCAATAGGTTTTTTCTAGAAAGTACCACGTATTAAATATTTTTAGCTTTGCAGGTAATATGGTCTCTTGAAACTACTGAACTTTTGTGGTATAGGGAAGGAAGCTATAGACAGTACATAAATGGTTGGGCATAGTTTCTTCACTTTTTAAAAATGTTTTAATTTTTCTGGATTTCAGCTACTCAAACTCTAGTTGTTTAACAGCTTATGTTCTTTTTTTGAATTCATTTCTGTCTGTTTATATTCTTTTATGAATTATTTTCAGATAGTTTCTGTTGTATTGAACCTGACTAATACTTTGACACTTCACTTAATTAAAAAAAATTTTTTTTGATTCATTACCTGTTATATTCTTTTTTGATTTTTTTTTTTTGATAGTTTATGTTGTGTATTCAATTTTACTTTCTTTTCCCCCCTGTAATCCCATGGATATTTCATCACCAATATTGTGGTTTTTCATCTCAAGAAGTTTTTTTCTTTTTTTTTTTTTTTTTGAGATAGAGTTTCAGTCTTGTTGCCCAGGCTGGAGTGCAGTGGTGCGATCTCAGCTCACTGCAGTCTCCGCCTCCTGTGTTCAAGTGATTCTCCTGCCTCAGCCTCCCAAGTAGCTGGGATTACAGGCACATGCCACCATGTCCAGCTTATTTTTCTGTGTTTTGCTCTTTTTTTTTTTTGAGACAGAGTTTCGCTCTTGTTACCCAGGCTGGAGTGCAATGGCGCGATCTCGGCTCAGCGCAACCTCCGCCTCCTGGGTTCAGGCAATTCTCCTGCCTCAGCCTCCTGAGTAGCTGGGATTACAGGCACGCGCCACCACGCCCAGCTAATTTTTTGTATTTTTAGTAGAGACGGGGTTTCACCATGATGACCAGGATGGTCTCGATCTCTTGACCTCGTGATCCACCCGCCTCGGCCTCCCAAAGTGCTGGGATTACAGGCTTGAGCCACCGCGCCCAGCCGCTCTTTTTTTTTTTTAAAAAAAAAAAAAAAAACAACTTCATCTTTTCATTTAACTTGTTGAAATACAGAATATAGTTCTAGTAATTATTTTCATGACTTGAGATTGATATTTCTCTTATTCTGGATCATATTTTCATGCTTTACTACATATCAAGTGATCTTTGATTGCACACCAAACATTTTGTATACTTTTGGCGTTGTTGAGTGCTAGATATTGTTACATTTCCCCACATCATCTTTAGCTTTGTTTTGGGACACAGTTAAATCACTTGGAAACAGTTTGGTGGTTTTTTTTTTTTTTTTGCGGTGAGGGGTGGTGTGGGCAGCGGGAGTGGTCTTGGTTTTAATTTATCTGAACATTAGTCAGCTAGGATAATTATTCCCCACCCACTGAGGCAAGACCATTCTGAGTACTCTACCTAATACCTCATGAATATGAGGTTTCATTCTGGCTAGTGGAACAGGCACTATTCTTCACCCTGTGCTATCACTGGGCATTATTCTGTTTAATCCACTTGGGTGGTTCTTTATTCAACATTAGTTTCTTCATATTTATGTGCTAGTGAGTATTCTGCTGGGGTACGTGAGTGGTATCTCCTGTGCAGTTCTCTCCTCAGGTGTTCTGGCCTATGAATTCTAACCAACTTGGTCTTTTGTGATCTGAGCTCAGCTTCCTTGTATCAGAGAATCCGCTCAGTTCTACATGGGTTCTGCTTTTAAGGCCATGTCTTGGAAACTTAGAAGGCAATAAACTGAGGCAATCATAGGGCTTACTTTATTTCTCATTTGTTAGGAAATTACTGTCCTTCATTATTTGATACCTAGTGTCTATTAAACCATTGTTTTATGTATTTTGACTGGTTATTTAAAAGCTGGAGGGTTAATCTAGTCTCTGGTACTTCATCTTGTCTGTAAGAAAAACTTACATGATTCAAAGTCCATTGCAGGCTTGATTATGGTTTGGAGAAGTACAGTAGTCTCCCAGCCATCCTCTGGGGATATGTTCTAAGACCTCCAGTGGATGCCTGAAACCTCAGATAGTCCTGAACTCTAGCCAAGAAGTACCAAGGTCACCTTTTCATTTAAGGGAAGCAGAGGTGTATGCGAACTGCTGGCATCACTACTCTTGTGTTTTGGGGCCGTTATTAGGTAAAACAAGGACTACTTGAACATAAGTACTTTGATGCTGACATAGTTGATTTGAAAACCAAGATGGCTACTAAGTGACTAACCGGCAGGTAGTGTGTACAGTGTGGATACACTGGACAAAGGGATCATTCTTGTCCAGATATCCCAGGCAGTTATCCCAGGTAGGAGACTATAAGATTTCAGGCTACTCGGCATGGCACATAATTTAAAACTTATGAATTATTTATTTCTGGAATTTTCTGTTTAATATTTTGGACTGTGGTTGAGATCAGGTAACTGAAACTGTGGAAAGCCAAACAGAGGAATAGTGTATTTGAATTTGCCTTAAGGTATCCTGGTGTGCTTTAGGTTTTAAGGGAAATTTGCACAGTATTACACAACATACATCAAATGCCGGATGCATATTGAGCGCTACTATAAAGTTCCTTCATACCTAATATAAATAAAGTTAGAATAATATGTAATATTACTGTATTTAAACCTGCAGGAATTTTCGTCCTTTTTCCCGATTTTGTGTAACATATTTCAAGATTTTCATCTTGTGACTAAAGTAATATTTTTGTCTACTGTTATTAAGGTACCCAAACCCTTTTTCATTCTTTTTCTCATTTTACGTGCTAAAAAAGATATTTTGCTTAATTAAGATGATCATTTTATGACATTTATACTTTCAGTATTAAGTCTTTTTTTAATAGTTCTGCAAACATAGTCTCTTTTTACTATTTTGGCTATTTGAAAAGAAAAGGGAAGACAAAGAAAACTGTATAAAACATGGTTTTATCTTCCAGAGATTAAAAGGAGTACATTTTTTGTGGCATATAAAAACCTGTCACTTAAAATAATGTTCTGCACTGTGACATACAAGTTTGAAAGCTTGAAATAAATTTCAAGGAAAACCTGGGCTTTGAACTTTCTGTAGGATGAATTTTCTACCCCCTGGCAAAGTGGCTTCTCTAAGAGTGTGTGTTATTTCCATAGATAACAGAAAATATAAAGAAAAACACCTATATTAATAAGTCCTGCTTTTTTGCAGGGAAAAGATGAAAAAATGTGAAGAATTTTGTTGCATTGATACTCCTTTTTTTTTTTTTTTTTTTTTTTTTTTTTGAGACGGAGTTTCGCTCTTGTTACCCAGGCTGGAGTGCAATGGCACGATCTCGGCTCACCGCAACCTCCGCCTCCTGGGTTCAGGCAATTCTCCTGCCTCAGCCTCCTGAGTAGCTGGGATTACAGGCACACGCCGCCATGCCCAGCTAATTTTTTTGTATTTTTAGTAGAGACGGGGTTTCACCATGTTGACCAGGATGGTCTCCATCTCTTGACCTCGTGATCCGCCCGCCTCGGCCTCCCAAAGTGCTGGGATTACAGGCTTGAGCCACCGAGCCCGGCCTTGCATTGATACTTCTAAGACATTACTAATTTGCTCTTAGAATGATATCTTGACATGAATTCTTTCTAAAATTTTACATAATTGCAGAATATCAAGTCAGTCTTACAGATAAGGAAACCTTAATGATTGCCATTAAAGTGTTTTTACCAGAAATTTATAAATGTGACAACCTATATTTATGATACACTCCAGGAATCCTTGCTGTGAAAATGTAAAAAAGAAATTTTTTTTTAGGTCTTTGTCTGAAGCTATGTCAGTGGAAAAAATTGCTGCAATCAAAGCCAAAATTATGGCTAAGAAAAGATCTACTATCAAGACTGATCTAGATGATGACATAACTGCCCTTAAACAGAGGAGTTTTGTGGATGCTGAGGTAGATGTGACCCGAGATATTGTCAGCAGAGAGAGAGTATGGAGGACACGAACAACTATCTTACAAAGCACAGGAAAGGTAATTAAAATATTTTGTTCATTCATTGAAGTGAGAGAGAGAGAGAGAAAGAGTGTGTGTGTGGGAGGGGCGGGTAGAGAGAGAGAGAGAGTGTGTGTGTGTGTGTTAGAGAGAGAGTGAGTGTGGGAGAAAGAATGAGTGTGTGTGTGTGTGTGTGTGTGTGTGTGTGTGTAAATTGTGATTGGTTACAGAATTGGTTAAAATTTGCTTTTAGGTGCAGTTTCAAGATTTGTCTCTTTGAGAGCTCAGTAATAATGTAGATTTCCAGATGGCTATTTTTACCATTTCATTCTTGAAATGGTGGTTATTCATCAAAGATGCTGATGAAAAAGTAGCAATCAAAATGCAAGCTCCTTCATAAGTCATTTGTAAATCAAAGAATGGCCTAGTTTTCCTGTTGAGTCATTTTTGCTTAAACCTGATACACAGGGAATATTGATGGCAAGTTCTCTGGTTATTAATGCCATTATTATTTTCTTCCCTACCTGGTAGAGAACGTATGGAAATCTGTAGCAAACATCTATTGAGTACATTTTACACTTTATATTTTGTTGTGTGGGTATTGCAGTTTTTTCACTAGCTCCCTATTAGTGGAAATGGTTTTCTTTTGTTTTTGCTTCGAAGATTGTGAGATTTTTTTCCTTTTTTCTCTGTCCTTCCTTTTCCCTCTCTGCCTCCCTCCTCCTTCCTCTCGTTCTCCTCCTGTTTCCCTCTCTTCCTCTTTCCCTCGCTGCTTTTTCTCTATTACGAATAATGCGTTAGAAAGCATTCTCATACACATACCTTTGTGTATTTATGTGGATATAGCCAAAGGATTAATTCTTAGAAACAAATTGTTGGTCAAAGGAGACGTGCACTTTAAATTTTAAAAGATAAAAATCTGAAATACTGGATGTCTGGTATTTCATGGGTCCCCAAAAAGAGGATGCATTTGTCTTGATTTATGTACTTGCATTTTTCTTTTCCTCTTCTGTGCCTCAATTTTCTCTTAACTGTTTTCTCCACTGATGCACAGTTAATAGTGATGGTCTAGTAACAGTGTTTAAGTGTGCAAGATTAGTAGTGAAATGAAGTTTAACCTTGTTTTAGGCAAATTGGTTTTGGTTGTAGAGTTTTGGGATTTTAGCCTTAAATTTATATTGCTATTTTAATAGAGATAAAGCTATGAAAAGAGTGTATGAAGAAAAGAGTTATTTCTTTTTCTTTTGTACTTTGACCTGTTTTACAGAGTACCTAAGGTTGAGATTAAGAATCATTCTCCAGAGCTTAGAATTATAGAGAAATCTGAGGATCTGAGTAAACTTCCGTTTTCACTAGTTACAATAAAATGATTTGTTGATACTGATTTTCACTGTCTAACATGGCTAATTCTTGAGTAATATTGTGACTTATGTCGATCTACCAGTTTTCATTAAAATTATCAAAAAATCTGAAACTCATAGAAGAATAAAAATAGGTGATATACCCTACCTAACTTTTAGACCAAACATTGCGTTTTCAAGTAACTGAGGTGAACAATTTTCTTTGACCTCTAGGTGGCAGGATTGTACCATCATTTCTAAACTTACTGATTTAATATTGTTGATACAACTATGTCTTTAAAAAAATAAGTTAATGAAGAATTGTTTTGCTGGGCGCGGTGGCTGAAGCCTGTATTCCAAGCACTTTGGGAGGCCGAGGCGGGTGGATCATGAGGTCGAGACATCGAGACCATCCTGGTCAACATGGTGAAACCCCGTCTCTACTAAAAATACAAAAAAACTAGCTGGGTGTGGTGGCGCATGCCTGTAATCCCAGCTACTCAGGAGGCTGAGGCAGGAGAATTGCCTGAGCCCAGGAGGCGGAGGTTGCGGTGAGCCGAGATCGCGCCATTGCACTCCAGCCTGGGGAGCAAGAGCGAAACTCTGTCTCAAAAAAAATAAATAAATAAATAAAAGAGTTGTTTTGTAGCTAGGCTTGCATAAATGAGTATTATTAGCATTAAAAAAGATAAAAAATATTTTGGCCGATAGTCTTTCTGTGTACTGTTTTTATCTGGTAAACTGTAGAAATACTCTTAGACAGGTGAGAATAGCAAAATACCCTTAGGTAGGTTTTTTTTTTTTTTTTTTTTTTTTGAGACGGAGTTTCGCTCTTGTTACCCAGGCTGGAGTGCAATGGTGCGATCTCGGCTCACCGCAACCTCCGTCTCCAGGGTTCAGGCAATTCTCCTGCCTCAGCCTCCTGAGTAGCTGGGATTACAGGCACGCGCCACCATGCCCAGCTAATTTTTTGTATTTTTAGTAGAGACGGGGTTTCACCATGTTGACCAGGATGGTCTCGATCTCTTGACCTCGTAATCCACCTGCCTCGGCCTCCCAAAGTGCTGGGATTACAGGCTTGAGCCACCGCACCTGGCCTAATTTTTTGTATTTTTAGTAGAGACGGGGTTTCACCATGTTGACCAGCATGGTCTCGATCTCTTGACCTCGTGATCCACCCGCCTCGGCCTCCCAAAGTGCTGGGATTACAGGCTTGAGCCACCGCGCCCAGCAACCTGCCACTCTTTCTTGTCATTACTTTTATGCATTTTGAAAAGTAATTTTTAATTTTTTTTCAGTTTTAATCTTAAATTCAATAGATACTGTAAGTCACACAAACTTAAAGCTCTTCAGGGTCCTTAGTAGTTTGTAAGAGTGCAAAGGGGTCCTTATATTTGCTGCTCTAGAGGATTATAGGAGCTGGTTAGCACTGCATCTAGTATAGTGATAGTTATCTTTCCAGCTGCCTCTCATTTTATATACCTATTTATTTAACATCTACAAACCAAGCAAGTGCTAGTCACTGACTGGAGGTGCATTGGTCCTAGCTCTCACGGAAGTTACATTCTTCAGCAGAAATCAAAATTAAAAAGTGGTAATTATTATGAACATTATAGGGCACACACCCAGCAAGGACAGTTAACTTAGGTGAGAGTAAAGAGGGGTGATACCTAAAGAATAAAAACCAGTAAAGGAAGTGAAATGGGTAAGGTGGGAAGAGTGGTCCAGTCCAAGCAAACAGAATGCTTTGTTTGCAGAAGAGGAATTATGTTGTATTTGAGGTTCATGAGGGCAGCGACCATGTCTTTTTTCATCATCATTGCACCCAAGTGCCAAACAAGGTGTTTGATTTAGAGTAGATTCTTAGTACATATTCCTTCAAATGTTAAGTGACTGATAGGTAGCATAAGAAGAGCCCCAAAGGAGCTGTCAGACATTAGGAGTGAAACCAGGAGACAGTGGCGTCTCAGAGGCCAATTGTCTCTGTTCTGCTGCTGTGGATATCACAGACTGGGTAATTTATGAAGACAAATTTATTTCTCACACTTTCTGTAGGTTGGGAAGTCCAAGAACATAGCAGTGGCTTCTAGGTAGGGTCATTTTATGGCAGAAGGCAGAAGCAAAGAAGCAAGCAAACAAGACACAGAGAGAAGTGAGGCCAAACTTGCCGTATCAGGAGCCCCAGCCACTTCTGCAATAGCAACAGTAACCCATTCATAAGGATGGAGCCCTTATGACCTACCTAATCACCTCCTGTAGGCTCCATCTCCTCATACTGTTAAAATGAATAAAATTTCAACATGAGTTTTAGAGGAGGCATTCAATCCATAGCATGAAGGAAGAATATTTCATGAAGGAAAGAGTAGTCAGATAAGTTAGTTATGTTGACTTTTGATTAGCGTGTGATTGCATCGTAAGTTGAAGAGCATTTTTACTTGTACTTTCCACTTATAAATCTTTGAAAAGTGTACATTGACTTCTAATAGTATCAGAATTCTGTAATGTGTGACAATCTGAAATTAGCACTGAAGTTTATTTAACAGAGAGGAGGATGTAGTAGTTGATTTTTTTTCTCAACTAGAAGCGTCTTTAGACAAATGTGTTATATTTTAATTTTATTTATGTTAACTTGTTTTCTGATTATATGTTTGAATAGATGTAGAATATGAATACATTTGTAGCAGTTTAAGTAAAGTGAAATTAAGGAAATGAATACCATGGGATTTATAATAGTCTCTGGATCAATATATCAGTAGTGGTTTTTACATATGTGTATAATCATGAGACCTTATATATAGTAAAGAAGAATTGAGAGTAAGATAACTGAGTCTTAAATTATTTATCAAGTAACTTTACTACTGTGTATTTAAGGTGGGCTTAATTAAAATCCATTTATGTTTTAGAATTTTTCCAAGAACATTTTTGCGATTCTTCAATCTGTGAAAGCCAGAGAAGAAGGGCGTGCGCCTGAGCAGCGGCCAGCCCCAAGTGCAGCGCCTGTGGTAAGAGTGCTTCACTGCTCTACAGCGATTTTAGTGGGATCACAGCGTTAGCAATGTTGAAGACGTCTTCACCTTTTAAAGTCAGCGGATTTTAAACCCTTTGCTGCTTCAGAGTATCTGAAAGATGGGAAAGCCCTCCTTAATGTTAAAAGTTACTCACATAGGCAGTACTTCTTAACTGGAGCAGTAATTCTTAACATACCTAGGTCAGAGTCTGAGACAAAAAAATCTGTTGAGTCAGAGTCTCTAAAAAAAAAAAAAAAAAAATTAAAAAAAATTAGCCGAGTTTGGTGGTACATGCTTGTGGTCCCAGCTACTTGGAAGGCTGAGGTGGGAGGATCACTTGGGCCTAGGAGGTCTTGGCTGCAGTGATCTGTGATCACACTGCTGTACTCCAGCACATGAAATAAGTGATATTTAAAAATATTAACATGTTACTCATAATTAAAAAAATTTTTTTAACAGGATCCCACTTTGCGTACCAAACAGCCTATCCCAGCTGCCTATAACAGATATGATCAGGAAAGATTCAAAGGAAAAGAAGGCAAGTTGCTTAATTCTTATTTTCCCCTTAGTGGGGTTGTGTTGAACTTGAGAGGCAGTATGGCCTGATGTTTAAGGGTGAGGGTTGGCGCCGTCATGTATGCAGGCCAGATCTTACCCACTACAATTTTTTGTAAATAACAGTTTGTTGGGACACAGCCACACCTGTTCATTTATTCATTTTATATATGGCTTCTTTGGCTTTGTGACTTCAGTATTGAATTTTTGGCCTACAAAGCCTAAAAATATTATCTGGTCCTTTACAGAAAAAAGTTGGCCAGTCCCTGATTAATAGCATGGATTCTGAATCCAGACAGCTTATGTTTCAGTAACTTTTTGTGTGAATTTTAATGTTACTTTAATTGCATTCTGTCTTAGTTTTCTCCTGTGTATGATTAAAATACTATTATAGTATCTGTTTCTTCTGGTTGTGAGTATTGGACTGGTTAATACTAAGTTCCCAGAATAGTATCTTATGTGTAAGTAAATTATCTATAAATATTTGCTGTTATTCAGACTGCTTTTGTTTTTTGTTTTTTGTTTTTTTGTTTTTTTTTTTTTTTTGAGACGGAGTTTCGCTCTTGTTACCCAGGCTGGAGTGCAATGGCGCGATCTCGGCTCACCGCAACCTCCGCCTCCTGGGTTCAGGCAATTCTCCTGCCTCAGCCTCCTGAGTAGCTGGGATTACAGGCACGCACCACCATGCCCAGCTAATTTTTTGTATTTTTAGTAGAGACGGGGTTTCACCATGTTGACCAGGTTGTTCTCGATCTCTCGACCTCGTGATCCACCCGCCTCAGCCTCCCAAAGTGCTGGGATTACAGGCTTGAGCCACCGCACCCGGCTGCTTTTGTTTCTAAATGGAGATTCTGTACGTTAAGTCATGTTTCTGACGTTATAAATGTGTACACTGAGAACTTGGAAACAGATTTTGAGCAATGATGGGAAGACTTATTTTGTGATAGCGTACGTGGTATTCTGGCTAATGCAGTTGTGCGGTGAAACTAATGTCAGGGTAACTTCCTCTTGGGATCTTCATTCATTGTGACTTGATACATGAAAATAAGAGGTTTAGAAGCAACTGGAAGTTAATGGTATTTTAAAGCATAATCTGAAGTCTTCCTTTAAATTTTTTTTAAAGCGTATGTTGCCTTGATGCAATGAATTTTGTGTGCTGACTTCATTTAGTTGATAAAGGCATGCACCGGATATGTGTCATAAAAAGACAATAGTCCATTCTTTCCTTTACACTTCAATGTTTTTCGTGGGGAATGAATTATATAAAGCAAAGGTTGGTAAATTACAGCCCTGAAACTAAATACAAACCTCCATGGGGCAAATTGGGCTGCCCCCCGTTGATCACATGTATTGTTTATTCTGCTTTTGCACTTGCAACTACAGAATTGAGTAGTTGTGACAGATTTTAAGGCCTGCTGTATATGAACTATTTACTATGTGACCCTTTACAGAAAGGCGTATTGGGATTCTGTCCTGTCACTCCAATCATTATTTACAACAGAGCTTTCAATAGAATATGTAATTTGATTGGTTGCTGTGGCTCACGCCTGTAATTCCAGCACTTTGGGAGGTGGAGGCAGGATGATTGCTTGAGCTCAGTACTTTGTGACCAGCCTGAGCAACAAGGCAAGATCCCATCTCTACTAAAAGTACAAAAAAATAGCCGGGTGTGGTGGTGCATGCCAGAGGTCCTAGCTGCTGGGGAGGCTGAGGTGGGAGGATTGTGTGAGCCTGGGGAGGGGGTTGGGAGTACAGGTTGCAATGAGCTGAGATTGTGCCACTGTACTCCAGCCTAGGTGACAGAGTGAGACACTGTCTCAAAAGAAAAAAAATGTGTGTGTGTGTGTGTGTGTGTGTGTAAAAAATAAGTATATGCCTTATGATTGAAACTTTGGAACACTGCTTTTTATAACTGGGTCTTCTCATGATATTAGGTGCTTTTAGTGGTACTATAGTTGAGTATTAGTAATTTGGGGTTATAAAGTATTCAATCTAAATTTTGAACGTAATTGCAGAGATAGTCTTAATCAGCTTCTACACGATAGGCTTGTGGTCTCTATTTAATATATTAGTATTTTTGAGCCTAGCATCCTTTTTAAAGTTTTTGTCTTTATAAGTATGTAATTTAATTTTACATGGTAGATTGAAGGCTTTGTTACACTATTGAACCATCAGATACAGTGTAGATTATTACTTTAGATTTGTTATAGATCATAAGATACATGATCTATAAAATCTTAACAGCAAACCTCTTCTTTTTTTTTTTTTTTTTTTTTTTTTTCATAGAAACGGAAGGCTTCAAAATTGACACTATGGGAACCTACCATGGTATGACACTGAAATCTGTAACGGTAAGTTAATTTGGCTGTAGATACCCTTTTTTCCCAGGGATTTTTTGTGAGTAGCACATGTTGATGAAAATCTTTATTCTCTCATATTTTTTATTTCAAACATTTTTCTTTATTGATCACTTGTGCTGATTGATCTGTCTGGTGTATTATTTGATTCATAGGTGTCCTGTTTCATTTTTCTTTTCCTTTACACTAAGTTGAATATGTGTAAATAAAAGCTGATTTGATTAACGTGCAAGTAGAGCAATGCACCTGGTCAGTATTTAAAACTATTGAGTTGTGAGGTCAGTTTGGGAGAGCTTTTTACCATAATATCATTTGTTTTTACAAGTGTAATATCTTATGCTCTTTAAAGAGATGGATTATAGTGATTATAATGCTTACAAGGTAGGTAACTGGTAGATCTTAACACTTAGGTGTCTGAATATAAGCCTTTGGTTCATGTTTAGCAAACTTTATTTTTTAACCTCCAAAAAATCGTTATTTCTGTATATTCTGACTAAGCCATATTTAACACTTTAAATTTATATTTAGTCAGTGATTGGACTTGGTAATGTAGGAATTCTCTTAACTTCATTTTTCTTTTTTTTTGAGACGGAGTTTTGCTCTTGTTACCCAGGCTGGAGTGCAATGGCGCGATCTCGGCTCACCGCAACCTCCGCCTCCTGGGTTCAGGCAATTCTCCTGCCTCAGCCTCCTGAGTAGCTGGGACTGAAGGCGTGCACCACCATGCCCACCTAATTTTTGTATTTTTAGTAGAGACGGGGTTTCACCATGTTGACCAGAATGGTCTCGATCTCTTGACCTCGTGATCCACCCACCTTGGCCACCCAAAGTGCTGGGATTACAGGCGTGAGCCACCGCGCCCAGCAACTTCATTTTTCATATTTATATTCTAGATCATTATACCTTTTATACTTGTATTTATATTCTAGATCATTATACTTTTAAAGTACTATGCATGTGTATTAGATAGAGTATATACTTAAGACACTAATACCAAACTTCTGTCTTTGCTTGTGAATCATCCAATCTTTATGGACTCTATATGACATGGAATCATTATATATTCGCTGTGATTTCTCAGAACTAACATACATCTTTATACCTACGTGGAATTTTTCAAGTTTTACTCATTTCCAAAAGCAAATAAGTACAGAGATCTGATTTTAAGTTTGTTTTTTTCTGGACTTCAAATTGGGATTGGATATTAGATATTTTGTTAATATACTTGTTTTTAAATTGTCATTAGATTTGATTTTGTATTATTAAATTACATGTAGACTAATGAATTCATTCAGCAAGTATTTATTGAGCATTTGAGTCAGATCCTGTTGTTGCTGGTCATACAGCTGTAAATAATACAGATGAGGCCTCTTTAGAGAGAGAAGTCAGAGATACTTCTCTGAGGAGGCAACTTCTCTGAGGAGCAGAGACTTGGAATAGCATTCTTCTCCATCAGAGCGGAATAAAGACTGAGGTCCATAGGGCAACATCAAGGAGGCCAGTGTTGCTGGAGTTTAGAGAATTAGGGGAAAAGTCATGCAGGATTAGATACACCCAGATCTGCCTGGTTCTTCCTGACTTCAATGTATGATTCATGGCTGAAGATTTAGTTTAAATTCTTATGTGATTTGGTTATTGACATCTTGGGAACAGAACTTGCCTACTTAGGGAATGCCCTAAGTACGACAGAACTTGCCTGCTGATCATTCCCTAAGTGAATTAGTTATGGAATGAAATCGTTATCCTTGGGGAGTCATCAAAGTAAGTTTTTTGTTATTGTTGTTATTGTTGTTTTTTTACTTTTGTCATCCATCCGTATAGCTCTGAAATGCCATGAAATGGTTTTATTATCTGAGCTTCTTTGCAAATAATAAAATCTGTGATGGTTTTCACAGTGGTCTTGGTACAGAGCAGTTTTTCTAAAATTTAAGGATAGCTTCTTTTTTTTTTTTTTTTTTGAGATGGAGTTTCGCTCGTTACCCAGGCTGGAGTGCAATGGCACGATCTCGGCTCACCGCAACCTCCGCCTCCTGGGCTCAGGCAATTCTCCTGCCTCAGCCTCCTGAGTAGCTGGGATTACAGGCACGCGCCACCATGCCCAGCTAATTTTTTGTTTTTAGTAGAGACGGGGTTTCACTATGTTGACCAGGATGGTCTCGATCTCTTGACCTCGTGATCCACCCGCCTCGACCTCCCAAAGTGCTGGGATTACAGGCTTGAGCCACCGCGCCCAGCCAAGGATAGCTTCTTAATTGATTAGTATGAGAATGATGTGATTCTGCATCATCAGAGACTGTTCCTAAATATACTTAAAAGAGAGGTGAATTTAAGCACATTTATGCTGTGTGATTTTAAAGAATAATCATGAAGAAAGCATTGTGTAGGAATGCAACAGAAAGACTAAAAATGCTTAAATTGCTGATAGTTTTATTATATTAATACGAAGTTTGAATCTGTGTTGCTTGTGATCTGATTTATGCAGTTGTTAGAATGAATACATAGAGAAGTTTGGACTTGAAAGCTTTGAAGTTCTCAGATAATTATTTTTTAGTTGTGTCTCAGACTTACATTTCCAATTTAATATTCTTTTCTCCTCTTTTCTGCATTGTACTTATTACCTGTTTGTGAGCTTGTGAGTTGCACCAACTTTCTACCTTATTCTCCACTCAGGAAAGTTTCTCCTTTATCATATTCATCCAGACATACAAAGATGTTAAATATATGTTAGAAGGCTCTGCTGCCCACATGCAACTTCCTTTGTAATTTATGTATAGTTCATTTTTGCTGTCATTGTTCAAGGCTTTGATATGCCTGGTTGATAGACATTGTTAATAAAATTAGGATCAATCCATGTATCTTTTAAGTTAAACATCAGATTTATGTTATATGAAAGACTAAATTATGCAGATGGCGAGAATACTTTTATACCAATAGATTATTTCCTTTATATATTGTAGAGAAGGATATACCTTTTGTTAATCATGTTTCATAAGAATCATGAGTTAGTGAAAATTTTTATAGAAGTAAAAGCCCAGGGAGAGTGCTTTCCTAATATTTTATGAAAATAAGAATTATTCAAAATAATAGCAACAGAAACCTATGTATCTTTAAAGTTACAAGTTTGTATAGTTGGGTTTCTGGTTAACTTTTGACTTAGATCAGGAAATATGTTTCATAGTAGAGGTTCCAGAGGCCCAAGCCATGAAATTGTTGATTTGCTAGAGAACTTTTCCAAGTTTGGAACCTTTCCCCCAAATTTGTTACTTGGGTTCTATAATGTTTAAGAACCACTAGGTTAGGTCAGGCGCAGTGACTGAGGCCCATAATCCCAGCACTATCGAAGGCCAAGGCGGACAGATCACTTGAGGCCAGAAGTTCAAGACCAGCTTGGTCAACATGGCAAAACCTCATCTTCTAAAAATACAAAAATTAGCCAGGGCATGGTGGTGCATGCCTATAATCCCTGCTACTCAGGAGGCTGAGGCAGGAGGATCACGTGAACCGAGGAGGCTGCAGTGAGTCAAGATTGTGCCAGAGCACTTCAGTCTGGGTGACAGAGCAAGACTCTGTCTCAAAACGAAACAGAACAAACAGAAAAAAACGCTAGATTAAACAGATTTTGTGGCTCAGGAATCTCATTGTTTTTAATGTAAGAGTTACCTAAATTTGAAGAATTTGCATTCTTTCCCAAGCTTATTTAACCTCCCAAGTTTACCCCTACCCTAACACCTAGAGAAGATTCCTGGAAAGAACTAGCGTTGCATAGAATCAGGTTAAGGAAAACTGTCTCAGAATTACATGTTGGACGTAGAAACCATTCAGTGGCGGAAATAACAATATATTTTCATGGGTTCGTTTTGTGAAAGGGTGGTATTAGACAAAGAAAATGTCACTTGACAGAGTTTTTTATTGTATGGTAAATAAGAGAAGATGATGAAGAGCTGTCTTTGTTAGCTGTAGCAAGGAACCTATTTATGGTTCCACTGGAGAAAGAGTTAGAAGATGATGATCACAGTTGACTCTTGTTAATAAGGATTTGGTAGTTGCATTGAGAACCACTTCATTTTAACCTGTCTGGCTTATTATGTTTAATTGGAAGGGTTACAAACTCTAGCCTCTGTATGTTTTTAGTAGATACCATGGACTCTTGATTACCTTACTGTGCTCATTTTTGAAGAAGCATCGCACACCCTGCAATTATAGAGATTAAAAGCTTTTCTTTAAGATCTTTACTTGAATTTATTCCAGTAGTCATCCTAATTCTTATAATAAGTATGCTTTGGGCAACGATTTTTCTGATAGTAAGTAAACTTAGGTAGATTTATATAGAATTTGTTAGAGGTGTAATAATATCACCATCAAGTCTCAGGAGATCTAGAATCTCAGTCTGTAAACCAGGTTATGTTCTAAAAGCAGGAACGCAGACATTAGTACCCTCCCCATCCCAGCACTGTTTATAAAGCCTTCCTTCATTCTCATTTGGTTGATTAGTTTGTTGCTCATCTCTGCTTGAAGTGTCATGGGAGTGCTATGGTAGCAGTGATGTTCCGGGGTTGGGTGTGGAGCTCAGCCCTGCAGACAGTGGACAGTTTTTCGAGGCTGTCTTCTTAGGGCTCTGTTTCCTTTTCTTCTTCTTTCCTTTAGCAAATATTCGTTGAGTGCACGCTGTGTGCCCTGCACTGTGCTGGGTGCTGGGACATCAATGATGAACAAAACCAGACATATTCTTACATAGTTTATGATCTGCTTGTGGAGGACACATTAGTCACACTATAAAATTGTGAATGTGCCATGTGTTCCAGGTACATTGTGCAACAGGAGCCTAAAATTGGGGGATTTATTGCAGGAGTCAGAGTACTTCATTGAGGAGGTAATGCTTGAAGAAGATCAGAACTTTACATAGGATTTAACTTGGTGATGACAGGAAAACACATTGTAGGAGCAGTGAACAAAAAGCAGGTGTCAGAGCACTGTGATGGGGAGAGCATGGGGAC